AGAGAACACCTCCTACCAGGTCTCTTCAACACTGCAATCCACCCCCAGTCCGAGGGAGTTTGGATCATGGGCGTATGTATGCCTGGAGTACTCAGGGAGAGATCTGGCCCCTACTTATAACTAACAGCTGGTCCAACATCACCTGTTGAAATTCTTGATGTCTGGAATATCAGATGTGGGAGAGACTTGGACTCAAGAGATAGGAAGGTCAACTTCTTGAGTGGTTTACATTTCAGGATCTAAAACTCGGGATTTGTCAACGGCCACGTTTTCTGCTGTTGGAAGGAACACAATCAATAATAATAGAGAAAAGAGGAGAAAGATAAAGAGAAATAAGCAGATAACAATAATGTTTTAAAGCTTATTTTAAAAATCATTTGTTCCATGAGTGAGAGAGAGAGGAAACACCTCCTACCAGGTCTCTTCAACACTGCAATCCACCCCCAGTCCGAGGGAGTTTGGATCATGGGCGTATGTATGCCTGGAGTACTCAGGGAGAGATCTGGCCTCAAACCAGCAACCTTCCCATGTGGGTGTGCCCCACAGAGTACTGCGTTTCCCTGCTGCACTCTGTCTGGCCCTGATAATATTTGAATTCCACATATAGTTTTTGTCGGAGGCCTTTCACATTTGTCTATTTGCTCTATTAAAAAACAAGGGTTATTATAATTGAGATATTTTATAATTAAGTAAAAATGATTGAGTTTTCTATTACCTGTACCCCAAAGAGTCTTTGATACATCTACTTTTCCCATATACTCCTTGGTATATGGAACCAAGTATAAAATATTGTACCTGGGGACGAATAAGTAATCTGCAGAATGGCAGTAAAACCTCAAAGGAGGAAAGATAGGAAACCCGTTGCCCCCCTCCCCTCTCTTTTATCCTTGGGTGCAATATTATGGAAATACTACTTTTAGATTGAAGTGGCTATTCCAAATTCAGCTGAAACTGCTATTCAGACAGCACAAAGAAGGGAATTTGGATAGGTGACTTATGCTTATCAACAAGGCAGACTGGGCAAAATGCAGGGCAAGTCTAATACCATTGGTGTTTCTTTGTAAAATGACTATGTGTGCATGTTGGATGGGTGGGTGGGTCACAAGGGTACCCTATCATTGGGCACGCAATCTCAGGGTTAATAACTGAATCACAAACAAGCATAACGGGGCGGGGGGGGGCAGATTTTCTTGTTTTACCTCTTTAGACCTTGGAAAACTACTGCTAAAATAGTGCATATTCTGGTCAATACCCTCATGGAGCAGCATGGCTTCAGATTATGAGGGATCCTCTGTTTTCAACAGCACTGGGGCATCAACACCAGCAAAGGAAAAGAGAATGAGAGCCAGCATGAAGAGTGGGGACTAGGACTAGCAGATGGCATGATGGCTGTGTTGTTGGACTCCTGTGTAGTTGACCGTGGTTTAAATTCCAAACCCAGCAGCTTAAACTCATGCTGGGCACATGTGTGTGCATGCAGGGGATCCAGAGAGGAGAATGGAGAAGGGATTACTGCATGACCATCCCCACCCCCAGAGGTGATTTCTCTCACTTTCAGTCTCTCTGGTGAGCACACTTGCCCTATAGCAAAAAATCTCTTAAAAAAAAAAAAAAAGACTGGAGACTGCTAAGATTATGCAGTAGTATGTTTTTGTTTTGTTTTGTTTTGTTTTGTTTTCCTCTCTTTCCATGCAAATAACTGTAATGAGTTGCTTTCAAACCAAGGTCCCCAGCTCCACAACTACCAATTGTACTATTGACTCTGGCCCCCCATCTTAATTTTTAAAGTGCAACGTTCCACTTAAACTCAGTGCTTAAATGACTAAATTATAGTTTCCTGAGAAACTTTTAATCCTAAAGCATTAGTGGCATTTACCTTTAAATATCTATGCATTATTCGTTCCATAAACGGAGTATTCTTAGAGTGAAACATAATATAATATGACAGTTCTGATATAGTTGTTGGTCAAATTCTGTTCATACCATGGATTAACTCTTCAGTGCAGTGGTAATTCACTGCTCCAGAGAAAACTGGATAAACCAGATCCTGTTTGGTGACCATGGTTTGAATCCTCAGTCTGTTCAACCTGAAACACACCCAGACGACTCATGTGAATGCCCAGGATCTGATGGGCTGGAGAACAAGAAGAAAGGGCTCACAGCATGCCCAGTACAGGGTGCTCAGCTTTCTCTCCTTCTCCGTCTCACATTCTCCCATGTGCATGCATGTACTCTAATGAATAAAAGGGAAAAATATTGTCTATCCCACAGATAAAGTAACTTGCACATTCTAATCAGTCTCTTCAGATTGCTTAGTACTATCTGGTGAGTCTCAAGCAAAATGTAACCGTTCCTGAATAAACAGATTGTTTGAGTTTATATTTCATGGAACCATCACTATATCTAAATGTCGCCTTTTATGAAATCTGATCAAGTACTATTCACTGCCAGAGAATACTAGTCAGATTTTCTAATAGCACCTATAAATGGAATAGTTGAGTTGCAAAGCTGTTAACATCTGTGAGATATGAGGATACCATCACATTGTTCACTCTGAGTATGGACTGTTACTATATTGAAGTCTAGATTTGATCTTTGTGTCATTAAGGACTCTTTTTATTTAACTGACAGATCAGCAAACCCAGTGCTTAACCATAAAAGGAACTCTTTGCTCTATGCAAATTTAAAAATTGGAGACTATATCTATCTTTATATATATTTTTTTCTTGCACTGAAAGAACCCAGTCTCTCTTTTTTGCCTGCCTTCCCCTGGGCCAATTCCATTCTGACATGTTTGTCTCTCATCTTCCTTGCTCTAAGTCTGCCTCAAAAGAGGAAGCTACATTTTTTCATGAATATGCATAAGAGCCAGGGCCTGACGCTCATGCCAAATCTGTCACAAACTCATCACTAAATAGATTATTGGAACCAGAATGAATAATCAAACTATTCAGTGCAGATAAGCCCAGTTATGTCATGATAACGAAACTCCCAAATCCCAAGGTCTCCTAACAACTGTCTTTATACTCACATATTCTGTGTGGTCATCAGAGGTCATCTCTCTTGATTGTCCTCACTCTAGCACTTGAGCAGACCATTGTCTGCTTGAGAGAGAGCCCCATTGTCAGGTTGCTGTCATGGTGGCAGAGGAAAGGCCTTTAGATGGACCCAAGTTAGCAATTAAATGCTTTGCCTCAAAGTGACACACACACACACACACACAAACACACACACACACAAATATATGTACATATATATTTTTTTTCACTCACAATTTATCAATCAAAATGAGTCTCTTGGTCCCAATCACCCATTAGAGCCAGAGCATAGAACCCCATCATGTGCTCAGAACAAGAGGAAATTGGAGTTTTTGGTGAATAGTCCTAATGATTTGGATATGATGTATGTTGTGTAAATTTTGCCAATATCTCTTCTGTGACCATTACCTAGGATGAAAAGTGCTTCCCTAAGAAAACCTGGGGAAAATACCTGTGAATCTTTCAAATTAAAAACAAAAAAACTAAGAATTTTGGAAAAGTAGACAACTTAGATCTGGTTCAGTTCCTAAATTCTGGGTCATAGGTCAGTTTAACCTGTGAAAATAACATGGTTTTAAGCTTATACCTTGAGTCCTCTTCACACATAAAGATTTAAGATGCTTTGTACCTGGCTAGAACAATTCTGTGTCCCATGGGTTATAAAGTACCAAGTATTTGGTACATTTAGGATTTTTGTTTCTTCTAGTTGTGAAAAATAGATAACCACTTAAATAAATGCAAGATAAGAGTTTATTGTAATGCCTCAATGGTTAATCTCTTATTTCTCCATCTCAAATACTATCCGGATTCTTTAATTTAGATATTACTCCTTTTTTCTCTTAGCACCTCTCTTTCCTTTTAAAATAATCTCTCTGTTTATTTAATTTTGAAGTCTAGGGCACCACAGTCGAAGGACAGTGACAAGTTACAGCCTTTGGTCTTTTAATCAAAATCCAAAGAAACAGAATCATATTGGCTGGGGGTTGGAAACTCAGTCTATTGTCAGATTAGTTCTAATAAAAAAACGTTTTCACATGGCACCTATGCAAGATCTTTCAAAGGTTCATGGAGAATATGTTTTATGAAAAACCATGCATAGATTTCAAAGTTTCTTTGCACCAAAATAAACTCACACTTTAATTCCATTTCTGTGAACTTTTTGAAGCCTCTTGTACAGTCGCCTCTTTGATGGCCTTTGGGTGGGGTTGGTTAGGCAAGAAGGAAAATTAAACCAAGAAAGATAATTAGCTTGTCTTGTTGTAGTTCCAGAATATTAAGCAAGCGCTTATACACATTACAGTATGTGCTTTGTAAATATTAACCCATTGAATCCTATAATGTAGGTACTATTATTCTCATGTTATAGATAAGAAAACAGATAACTGAGAAATCAAAAAGCATAACTAGGGTCATATAGTTAATAAGAAGCAGAGTCACCCAGGATTCGAAACTGGACAGTTTTGTCCCAGTTTTACATTTTTATTTTTTGCCTCACCTTTTGCTTTATGACCAACCATCTTAGTTCTTCTGAAGCATCTGTGTTTACACTGGTGAGTTTATTCATGCTTTTTTTTTTTTCTTAAACCTCTTTTGCCAATAGTAAAATGCTTGTCATTCTCCAAAGCTCATCCCAAATATCAGCATTTTCATTTTGCAAGGTCCCTGAGCACCTTGTCTCTGTTCCTAAACCATCCTGTATATCCCTTTTATTACCACAAGAATCACCTTGTACTATAATCATAGAATACTGTGATACTGTATGTTTCTATAGGGCAAGGATATATATATTTCTTATTTCTATATATCTGTATATCTTTTGTATATCTGTCATATGGCACAATTATTGACCCATAGAACATATTTAATAAATTGTTATTGAATTATTTGCTTAAAAATGAATGCATTAAATATGATGTATGTTATGTACATTTTGCCAATATCTCTTCTGTTACCATTACCCAGGATGAAAAGTGCTTCCCTAAGAAAACCTGGGAAAAATACCTGTGAATCTTTCAAATTACTGGGATTCAGAAGTCGAGATACTGGTTGGTTTGGGCTTGATGATGTTGTGGTGAGAACCATTCAGGGTGGCTTGATTTCATTTGAATTGGATGGCCATTTAGAGAGGTAATACAATAGTAACTAATCAAATTGTCTACTGATGACTCTTAATTGATATTTACCAAAATGGAACTGTAGGGTTAGATTTTTATTCTTCAAATAGGAATATGTAAATGTGAATTGACAGGAATGTGTTATTTGTAATTTCATTCATGATATTTTGTGTGCTTTTGGAAACTACTCATAACTTAGATTTATTTTTATAGGTTTCTTTTAACTCTAAAATTGTTTTAAAACCATACTTTCGTTTCTGAGATTCCATAGAGGTAGTAATGAACTATTCATATTATGCTCATCTCACAGTTCTTTACCTATAACTGAAATTATGAGTTCAGTGACCTCATTTTAATTTCTCATTTCCATGTTTTCTAGACAGCCCATTTTAGTCAATTTTTAGGTTCATGAGAACTAGACACTCATAAAGAGAGGACAATCATAATGGAAGATCATATATCTACAATGATCTTGCATTACATTCCCTAGAAACAGAGTTTGAGATAAGATGAAAGTAATTTGTTAAGGAAGGATTCTCAGGGGAATCTTCTCAAAAGGAAGAAGCAGTTAAGACAAAGGAAAAAGACAGAAAAATAAAAGTAACGTTTCAGTTGAAGTCTCTCCTCAGCTTCTTACTTCAGAGAGCTCTGCTGTGAGTCCCAAGGAGACTGGCTTCACACAGCCACCTCAGTCCATCCTTGTACAGGGCATAGGGATGCTCTGGATGAGGGGACCTGTAGGGCAATTCCCTGGAGAAGAGAGTGGGCAAAGATTCAGGTGAGCAATAGGGGACTGTATTCATCTTAAGGCTGCCATAACAATACACCACAAACTGGGTGGCTTGAAAATCCGAAATTCATTGTCCCACAGTTCTGCTGAAGTCTCAAATCAAGGTGTGAGTGGAGTTCATTTTTTCTGAGGATGGTGAGGGGAGGATCTGTGCTTCTTTTTCTTTGATGGACTACTTCCTGTGCTCCTGCTGTTCCCTCATATGCATACCTCAGGGTCCAAATTCCCTCTTTGTATGATGGCAGTCATATTGGATTAAGGTCCACCCCAATGACCTCACCTTAACTTGAATACCTCTTAAAAGACTTGATCTCCAAATAAGGTCATATTCTGAGGTACTGGGGGGCAGGTGTCAGTATTTCAACATACAATTTTTTTTGTGAAAGAATTATTTTATTCAGTTTTTAATTTTGAGCAGAGAGAGAATGAGACAGACAGAGAGAAAGTAAGTGAGAAAACAAGCTGCCATGTCCAAGACTTGAACTGCAGTTGGCCATGTGGGAGTCCAACACCCTTACCCATCACACCACCTGCCGGCCCCTCAACATATAAATTTGGAGAGGAACATGATTCAATCCATAGCAGGATCCATTATAACAATTCTTACAACACAGAGACAGACAAATATTTCAATCCCAGCTTAATTATAATACATATTTTGCATTATATTATAATTGGGAGTAGATGGATTGTCTTGATCAGCTTTCTCTTCTATATTGTGAAGCACAGGTTGAGCATCCCTAATCTGAAAATACAAAATCTAAATATTCTGAAATCCAAAACTTTTTGACTGCCTATATGATGTTGCAAATGAAAAATCCCACATCTGATCTCATGTTACAGGTAACAATCAAAAGGAAAAATACTGTAGAAAATTATCTCCAGACTATGTGTGTGAGATACATATAAAACATAAATACATTTTGTGTAGACTTGCATTTCCTCTTCAAAATATCTCATTATGTGCATGCAAATGTTCCTAAATCTGAAGAAGAAAATCATAATCCAAAACACTTCTCATCCTAAGCATTTCGAATAAGGGATACTCAACCTGTCATATAACAGTCGTTGGTAATGCTAGCCAAATTATCACTTAAAATATGCTGTGCTATTTACAGCTGACTTGAGACTGTATCACTTCATTGTTCAAGAATATGCTTTAGGATTTAGTTTGATCTGAACAAATGTCCTGTCTGGCAAGATTTTCATTAAAGCCATCCATAAATTTAATCAGAGCTCTTAAAAGACTTGATCTCCAAATAAGGTCATATTCTGAGGTACTGGGGGGCAGGTGTCAGTATTTCAACATACAATTTTTTTTGTGAAAGAATTATTTTATTCAGTTTTTAATTTTGAGCAGAGAGAGAATGAGACAGACAGAGAGAAAGTAAGTGAGAAAACAAGCTGCCATGTCCAAGACTTGAACTGCAGTTGGCCATGTGGGAGTCCAACACCCTTACCCATCACACCACCTGCCGGCCCCTCAACATATAAATTTGGAGAGGAACATGATTCAATCCATAGCAGGATCCATTATAACAATTCTTACAACACAGAGACAGACAAATATTTCAATCCCAGCTTAATTATAATACATATTTTGCATTATATTATAATTGGGAGTAGATGGATTGTCTTGATCAGCTTTCTCTTCTATATTGTGAAGCACAGGTTGAGCATCCCTAATCTGAAAATACAAAATCTAAATATTCTGAAATCCAAAACTTTTTGACTGCCTATATGATGTTGCAAATGAAAAATCCCACATCTGATCTCATGTTACAGGTAACAATCAAAAGGAAAAATACTGTAGAAAATTATCTCCAGACTATGTGTGTGAGATACATATAAAACATAAATACATTTTGTGTAGACTTGCATTTCCTCTTCAAAATATCTCATTATGTGCATGCAAATGTTCCTAAATCTGAAGAAGAAAATCATAATCCAAAACACTTCTCATCCTAAGCATTTCGAATAAGGGATACTCAACCTGTCATATAACAGTCGTTGGTAATGCTAGCCAAATTATCACTTAAAATATGCTGTGCTATTTACAGCTGACTTGAGACTGTATCACTTCATTGTTCAAGAATATGCTTTAGGATTTAGTTTGATCTGAACAAATGTCCTGTCTGGCAAGATTTTCATTAAAGCCATCCATAAATTTAATCAGAGCTCATTAGAATACTTGATTCTTTGAACTAATATTTCTTTTCCTTGATGAGAAAGATAGCACAAAAGCATGTGACAGGCACCTATGACAGGGTCTCGTTTCCATGGTCCTTTTTCTTAACCCTCCAGCTAGTTAGGATCTTGGGTGTGCAAGTGCCTGCTGTGTTTCAGGTCTAGTAGGGATACAAATCCACAGTCAGCTCTGTAGCTTCCACTTTCACCACCAGAGCTGGGCCATAACTCTTCATTTTTTTTTTTTT